ACCCTAGGATGGAAAATTCAACATGGCCAGACAGTTGCTTCTGCAAATCCTATCCTGCTTCCTCAACAATGCCTTGGTGCCTCCCGAAGAGCTGCTCCTGCTGTAAGAAGGAAGCGGGATGGCCGAGTTATGCAGCAGCTAGCTGTCAGCAGCAAACAAAGGGCTCTGGCCACCATGTATCCTCGCTGCTGCGGTGTGGAGACGCGGTTTCTCTTCAGGTGTTTTTGCTGCATGAAAGATTTGCACAACCTTGGCTGGCCTCTCCTCTTCTTTAAAAGATGCAATAAATTAGAAGGTGATAACGGGCCAAAGGGAACATTTAAGATTCCAGTGGCATTTCTAAGAACTGCCCGGCACGCTCCAAGTTCCTAGCAGCAACCTGCTGGCGGGTCCACAGGAGGGAAGCGGCTGGCTACGGCGAGGCACGTACGTGGCACGGCTGTTCCTCCCTGGGAAACAAACCAAATGAGCCCTCAGTGCATCTCGGATTACACTGTCAGCTCCCCAGACGTGAAGGTAGAGGTCCCGTGGTTAAGGTTTCTGCTGAGGATTCAGTACACGCTCTTTCTAGCCCCGCACTGGCGAAGGGAGCAGCAGCAAGGCAGCGCCCCTGTAAGTATTGGTATGTCCCCTAACGGGGCCTGGAGTACTGGACGAATCCATTGGACTGAGAAGGTTTCCATGGCGGCTGCTCGGTGCAGCTCTCCGTGAGCAGCACGTGAGCCTGGGTGAGCCCGTTCCCTCTCCCTTAGCACCCGATGGGCACATCAGCGTCCCTCCATAGCACAGGGCAGTGCCGGACCAGCGCCGTGCCTGCAGCGTACCAGGGCTGATGGAGGGGTTTCCAGCGGGAGGGAGGGAAAGCAATTCATAGTATGGGACGTGATGCTGGAGATGACGTTCATTGTAAAAGATGGCGTGGTGCAAACACGTCTGAAATCCTTGAATTTTACTGAGTGTGTCCAGGGAAATGTCTCTCCTGAGGCCACCAGAAAATTTGGAGCAAAACATCGGTTAAGCTCCTGTTGTCCCAGCTCCCCACTGATGCGCTCTGTCCCTGGAGCGCGAGGTGGCATCGCCCTCCTTCATGTCAGCTGCTCTTCTACTGACCCCGTTTGCTGCAAGTCCAGCCACCCTGACGCATGTCGGGTTGGGTACCTGGCTGGAAGGGCCTGAGCAACCGCGCTGCAGCCAGACACCACGCTCCGCAGAGCTGCTCTGGCTCAGCCCAGGACGGAGCAGGCAGCACAGGTACCCTTTCCCGGCTGGACCCGTTCTCTCTGCTTACTATATGGCCCCGACCCCAGTTCTTGGTAGTGTTGCCCTCAAAGGAAGTGCGGGGGCTGTGCGGTCTGCTTTGTGCTTGCTGCACAATGGGCTTTTTGTTTTTCTTAACTTCAGTGACCTTCCACCAATTTGGAGACTTTGCCATTACTTTCCCTCTGTTCCAGTGTTTTACTCCTGGACAATTGCCATA